AGTGATTTTTGATTGAAACCTGGATGTTGGGGTACCACGCTAGGAGACTTGGGATGTCATCTCACCCTTCCATGTTAGCAGGTCTCCTCTGACACTGCTGTGATGGTGGCTGGTATTAACTGAGTAGCACCTAAGTGGACACATAGGTACTACAGTAATAGGGTATTGGGCAGGGGGGAGGGGGGCGGGTATATACATATATAATGAGTGAGAAGTGCACCATCTGGGGGATGGTCATGCTGGAAACTCAGACTTGTGGGGGGAGGAGGGAAAGGGGATTTATTGAAACCTTAAAGTCTGTACCCCCATAATATGCCGAAATAAAAAAAAATGAAAAGAAAAAAAATAAAATCAATGGGAAAAAGTAGACCATTATATGTACTTTGTGGACAATTCTATATCACTCCCGGAGGCGGGGGTGGGCAAGGAATGTTGAAACCATACCTCATGCCTTACAGTAAGACAAATTATAAGTGGACTAAAGATTCAAATGTGAAAAAATGAAATAATAAATGTGCTGAAAGAACATATAGGATAATGCTTTTATAAATTTGTAGTCAGAAGGCCTTTCCAATAATGACTCAAATCAAGAAACCATTACAAAACTGATAAATGTGACTATATAAAATAACAGTGTTTGAAACTTGTGCTCTGACAAAAAACACAACCTATGAAACCAGAAGACACAATGACAAATTAGGAAAGAGTATTAACAATTATACCACAGACAGTGACCAGGAAGAAAATATGAAAAGCGCTTAAAGGCTGGGTGCCGTGGCTCATGCCTATAATCCTAGGATTATACTCTGGGAGGCTGAGGCGGGAGGATCACTCAAGGTCAGGAGTTAGAAACCAGCCTGAGCAAGGGTGAGACTACATCTGTACTAAAATTAGAAAGAAATTAATTGGCTAACTAAAATATATAGAAAAAAATTATCCAGGCATGGTGGCACATGCCTGTAGTCCCAGCTATTCAGGAGGCTGAGATAGGAGGATTGCTTGAGCCCAGGAGTTTGAGGTTGCTGTGAGCTAGGCTGATGCCATGGCACTCACTCTAGCCTGGGCAACAGAGTGAGACTTTCTCTCAAAAAAAAAAAGGCACTTAATTATTAAACATATGCATGCACAATTAAAAAAAAAAGGCACTTAAAATTAAAAAAGTGTTCAATGTCTCCCATAAAATAGGAGATGCTAATTTAAACTACATTGAGATATCATTTTATTTTTCCACCTATCAGACTGAAAAAAATATAAAAGTTTGGTGACAAACACATTATACTGTGTATAGTACTCTCATTCATTGCTTGTGGCAGTGTAAATTCATACAGGTTACTATTATATAATGTTACTATAATTAAGACAGTGTGATATTGGCATAAGGATTGGTAAATTGATCAATGAGAAAGAATATAGACTATAGAAATTGCCTCACTTATATGCAGTCAATTGATTTTTGACAAAGATCCCAAAGCAAGTCAATGAGGAAGGGAAAGCCTTTTCAATAAATGTTCCTAAATGAAATAGATAATTATATAGCAACAATTAATACATTTTGGATCTCTACATCACCCTATATATAAAAATTAATTCAAGATAGATCAAGCACTTAACTGTGAAGGTTACAGTATAAAGTTTTTTAGAAGAAAACAGAGGATTATATTTATAACCCTGTGCTAGGTGAAGACTTCTTAGCCCATGGAGGACACTATAATTAACAGCTTTATCAATTAAGCTTCATCAAAATTATTCTCTTTCTCTACCTGTAGTCCCAGCTACTCAGGAGGCTGAGGCAGGAGGATCACTTGAGCCCAGGAGTTTGAGGTTGCTGTGAGCTAGGCTGATGCCACGGCACTCTAGCCCAGGTGACAGAGTGAGACTCTGTCTCAGAAAAAAAAATCTGAGTTGATAGTTTTTTTCTTTTAGCACTTGAAAAATGTTGTGCCACTTTCTATTGGGTTTATGGTACAAATCTGCCATCAATTAAATTGTTTTCTTGTATTGGTCAGGTGTCATTTCTCTCTCACTGCTTTCATGATTTTTTTTTCCATTGCCATATTCTTTTTTTTTTTTATTTTGGCATATTATAGGGGTACAGATTTTAAGGTTTCAATAAATGCCCTTTCCCCCCTCCCCCCACAAGTCTGATTTCATGATTTTTTTTTTTAATTTTTAGATTTAAGAAGTTTGACTATGATGTATCTTGGTATGAATTCCTTTGGATTTATCCTTTTTGGGCTTTTCTTAGCTTCTTGAGACTGTAGGTTTTTATATTTTTGTCAGGTTTGGAAAACTTGTAGCCTTTATTTCTTCAGATATGTTTTCAACCCTGTTTTCTTTTCTTCTCCCATTACAGGACTCTGATGACATGAATGTTAGGTCTTTTGATGTCGTCCCAAAGTCCCCTGAGACTCTATGTTTTACACTATTTTTTTCTATTTTTCAGATTAGGTGATACCTAGTATTGTATCATCAAATTTACTGATTTTTACAGCTTGCCTGTTCTGCTGTTGAGTCCTGCCATTGAGGTTTATATTTTGGTTTCATGGTATTTTTCAGTTCTGAAATTTCCACTCAATCCTTTATATATTCTACTTCTTTACTGAGACTTTTTAAATATTTTTTCATTTGTTATGAGAGTTCATTAAAACATGCTTGTTAAAGTATCTTTATGATGGCTGTTTTAAAATCCTTGTTAGATAATTCTAACGTCTTTATCACATCGGTGTTGAACTCTGTTGACCGTCTTTTCTCATTTAAGTTGAGATTTTTTTGGTTCTTAGTATTAAGAGTGATTTTTGATTGAAACCTGGATGTTGGGGTACCACGCTAGGAGACTTGGGATGTCATCTCACCCTTCCATGTTAGCAGGTCTCCTCTGACACTGCTGTGATGGTGGAAGGGGGACGCTGCCTCGTCACCGCCAGGTGGGAGCGGGAGTCCAGTTCATTACCGCCAGGTGGGAGCGGGAGTCCAGTTCATTACCGCCAGGTGGGAGCGGAAGTCTAGTTCGTTACCGCCAGGTGGGAGCCGGAGTCCAGTTCATTACCGCCAGGTGGGAGCGGGAGTCCAGCCTCATTACCGCCAGGTGGGAGTGGGAGTCCAGGCTCATTACCGCCAGGTGGGAGCAGGAGTCCAGGCTCATTACCGCCAGGTGTGGGAGTCCAGGCTCATTACCGCCAGGTGGGAGCGGGAGTCCAGGCTCGTTACCGCCAGGTGGGAGCAGGAGTCCAGGCTGGTTACCGCCAGGTGTGGGAGTCCAGGCTCATTACCGCCAGGTGGGAGCGGGAGTCCAGGTTCATTACCGCCAGGTGGGAGCGGGAGTCCAGGCTCATTACCGCCAGGTGTGGGAGTCCAGGCTCGTTACCGCCAGGTGGGAGCAGGAGTCCAGGCTCGTTACCGCCAGGTGTGGGAGTCCAGGCTCATTACCGCCAGGTGGGAGCGGGAGTCCAGGTTCATTACCGCCAGGTGTGGGAGTCCAGGCTCGTTACCGCCAGGTGGGAGCGGGAGTCCAGGTTCTCCACTTTGCCTCCACTGACCCCAGGGCGGTGCTCCTCATTACCACTGGGAGGTGGGACTTTGGGGTCCTCACCTGGCCCTGCTGATCCCACCCTGGCTGGGTGGGGGAGGGGCATCTTGTTGCTGCTCCCCTTGTGGCTTTCAGTGACGCCACATGGTGGTGGCTTTGCTACTGTCACACTGGGGTAAGAATCCTGACTCTCCGGTAGGCCTCCCCTGACACCACGGCAGAGGAGAGAGGGAGAAACGCCTCTTTGCTGCCAGACGGTCTCCACTGACGCTGGGGCAGCGGTGGGGGCGCTTCAGTGTCTCATGGTGGGAACGAAAGCCCTGCAGCCCCCACCGGGCCTTCCCTGGCTGCACCGCAGTGGGGGGCTTTGAGTGCCTCATTACAGCTGGCATAGGGAAGTCCAGACTTTCCACTTGCCTTTCATGGTGGGGATGGAGGTGGGCAGAACGTTTTTGCCTGTGGTGTCGGGCGGAGTTGAGTGGCTATTGTGGAAAGCTTTTCTGTCTTGCTGGGCTGCCCCTTGTCTGGTTCTAGAGGGAGCAAGATCTTTTTTTTTTCTTTTTCCTTTGTCTGCACCTGTTGGTGTTTTGGGTTGTCGGCTGCTTTAGCTCCCACTCTGGGATAGATGAGATAAGAAGAAAATCCAGCTGACCCACCACAGGGTCATCCTTGGTGCTCGAGACCTGTAGCTGGTCGTCTTCTGTTTGCTTTGTTATGTAATTTCTAGAGTCTTAGCTATCCTTAGGAGGAGGAAGAGGGGAATGTACATCTGTTTCATCTTTCTGGAAGTGGAACTTCTCTATTTTGCTTTTTAAATGTATGAGAATAATTAGTTTTATAATCTAACTATCCAATAACTGACGAATGTGTCCTATGGTATAGGATGCAGTCGCTAAAATGATGGCCACAGGACAGTCCTATGTTTTTATTAGAATTATAAATGCTTAGATAAAATGCTTACACAAATAAAAATAAAATATTACACAACTGTATGCATATATAAGTATGATCATAACTATGTGGAAAAACCTATCATAAGAGAAAAAAACTGGAAGAATGTTCTCCAAAGTATTAACAATGGATGGTTGGTGGATGGAATTATCAGTGATTTTTTTTTCCTCTTTAACGAGACAAATTTAAACTGATAAGAACAGATACTACACTTGATCTTAGCCAAAAGGCCAAGAAGCGATAATGAGACAAATTTAGAAAAGGAACACCTACTACTTTTATAATTAAAAATGAAATAAATACAATTATATTCCTGTTCCCTCTCCAAAAAATACATACAATGATCTCCTATGATATAAGGCATTTTTCATGAATTAATTCATTTATTTGTGTTTGAGGAGTTAAAAAACATTTTTAGTACGGTTTATGCAAATTCAAGTTATAGTCATCAAATGAATATTATATCAACAGTAATAAGCCACAAAGCTATATTTCTCATGCTGGAAGAATGAAATACATTTTATTTGGAGATTAGCAAGAATGCTCTATAAGCTCCTAGAACACCACGAATGAACTGGAAAGAGAGAAATGTTCGAGTGGATATAGACTGAGGGTGCCGGGAGGACATGAAACCCTCTAGACTTGTCTTTCCAGTTTGGATGTCCCTGGTTGAAGCCCCATCTCCTTTCTAGGACACTGCTGGCCTTGATTTCTCCATCCGCTGTGCTGGTGATTAACATTCACGAACAGCAATTTTCAACTGTGCAAATGACATAGGCTGAACACGGCTCACAAGTGTTGCTTGATGTGCACGTCGTAGAACACGGGTTACAGGGAAGCCTGGGGAAAATCAATTGTAAACTAAGCTTAACAAGGGAATCACGATCAAATGTCAACTCAGAAAAACCATGTCAAGCTTTGCCCTACAAATTATGTTCTGAAAAAAACTCTTTGCAGAATAGCATTTTGGAACCAGAATTGCCACTTCATGTTCACTGAAACAGTGGTAGTTAAATAATATTTTATATATTTTCTGTGTTTTGCAAATGTTATCTTAAGGCTGTTCCAGATTTCCATTTAGTGGATAAAGGAGCAAAGAGAGATGCCCAGTATGAAATGTTATGCGTGGTCATTCTGCTTTAGAACTTCGAAATGTTTTAGAGCATTTCTATTGTCACGTGCTCAGCCTCAGCCACCCTTCCTCTCTCTTTTTAAGAAGATCCCTTAACACCCTAGGGAGGTTCGACCTTGGCCAGGCCTTGGGGAAACAGGATTCTCCTGCATCAGCCTGTCTGTGGTTCCAGAGGGTTCCTGAGCAGCTGTGGGACTTGCCTGCTGTCCTCGCTCTCCAGCAGCCCCCGGTACGTGTTGATCTCGCACTCCAGCCGGGCCTTCACGTCCAGCAGCACCTGGTACTCCTGGTTCTGCCGCTCCAGGTCGCAGCGGATCTCGGCCAGCTGGGCCTCCACACTGTCGATCAGGCACTGAATCTGGGCCAGCTGGGAGCTGTACTGGGCCTCGGTCTCCGCCGAGGTACATTCCAGAGATTCTGTCTGCAAGAGGAAAACAATGTCCAAAGGACCATGGGGCCAGATTGCCTGTTTTCATATCCTTGCTCTACCTTTCTCTAGCTGTGTGACCTTGGGGAAATTACTTAGCTTCTCTGAACCTCAGTTTTATTCTATGTAAAGTTTTATTCTATATAAACCTATCTCATAGGAAGGTTGTAAAGATTAAATGAGTTAATATCTGTAAATCACTTAGAACAGTGCCTGGAAAAAAATTTAAGGGCTGTATAAATGTCAGCTATTTTTACTACCACCTTTGACTACTGCGACCTGTGACACACCTGTGTAGCTTAAGAACAATCAATAGCATTTTGGAGGAAACACTGAGTTTGGGCTCCTGGTGGGGAGGGTGGTGGGAGGAAGAGAGTTTGGTTAATGGGTGCAAACATACTTTGCATAGAAGGAATAAGTTCTGATGTTTGATAGCAGAGTAAGGTGACTATAGTTAACAACAATGTGTTGTGCATTTCAAATAGCTGTAAGAGATGACTTGAAATGTTCCCAACACATAGAAATGACAAACACCCAAGATGATAGGTGCCCTAAATACCCTGCCTTGATCATTATACATTCTATGCATGCAACAAAATATCACATGTACCCCATAAATATGTACAGATATTATGTATCAATAAAAATAAATCACTTTTTTTTTTTTAAAAAAAAGACAAGAGGCTTTGGGATCCAACTACCTGGATTCAGCTTTTGCCTCTTAGAATTGCATGACTCCTTGCAAGTTACTCAATCTGAGTCTCAGTTTTCCTCATCTGTGAAATGGGGTAAAGGTATCTACGCTATAAAGTTATTGTGAGGCTTAAATCAGCACGGCACCCCTCACAAGATGAATGCTCAGCTATCATTCATCTAGGTATTTGGCATGGGACTTCATGTAATGCACGCAATGATGCTTAACTGGAACTGGTTAATGTAGTCTTGAATGCATGGTATTCTCATTGCTTGGGTGAGGTGGGGTGCAGTGAAGGGTCAGGTTGAGGTGTGGATCCTGGGAAACTTTAGGATAGTTGTAGGCTGAAAAGTTTGACAACTATTCTTTGTTTTGAATATCATGGTGAGCTTGGAACATTGGTCTGAATCAAAAGAGAATTAAAGCCCGTTGGCATGCTTAAGTGCCTTTGGCTCAGGGGTCCTGCTCTTGCGCTGCCCCGGCCTTTCCCTCTCTCCCTGACTCTGGAAGGTGCTGCAAGAGGGTGCTGGGGCCCAGAAGGGAAGGTTAGACATCCTAGTGGGGTGATGCAAGCTGTTCACCTGTCTCTCCTGCTTCTAGCCGGCTAAACGGCAGTGCTTGGGGAAGGCGAGGAAATGTAATCCCTGGGTTATGGAAGAGGACTTAGCAGCCCAGGGCCTGACTTATGAAGGACACAACTGTCACTGCCTTTGCCTTACGCACCAGGCTTTGCTGTGCCTGGAGCTCGATTTCCAGAGCATTGGCTGTGCGTTTCAGTTCCAAGATCTCCATCTGGCAGCCCTGCAGCTGCTCCGCGCTGGACAGCTGCTGCCGATTGAGCTCTTCTATCTGAAACACAGGCACCGTTAGAGAATTCACACGAGGTACAGGTCTGGGAGCCTGACAGTTGACCGCTCCGGGCGCTGACCTGAACAGCGAACCATTGTTCCGCGTCTCTGCGGTTGTTGGCGAGCACCGTTTCGTACTGACAGCGCATCTCATCCAGCGCCCGGGTGAGGTCGATGGTGGGGGCCGTGTCCAGCTCCACGCTGAGTCGGTCACCCAGCTGTCCACGAAGCGAGTTGACTTCCTGAAAGCAGAGATGGAATAAAGAATGTCACAGCGTGGTGGAGGGAAAAAACATCAATCTGGCACTCAATGGCATCTCATTCCTGCTTTTCTGGAGCAGTGGGCAAGAGTGTGGGATTTTGACGCAGATTGCCTGGGCTGAAGCTCTTTTCACCACTTATATGGGTCTCGGTTTCTTCATCTGCCAAATCGGTATAATAATTGTACCCTTTCCAGAAATTTATTGTGAAATATAGAAGAGTTAATATACGTAGGGAACTTATAAAAGCCCAGGAACATAGTAAGGTCTCATTAAATGTTCGCTGTTATTTTCATCAACAAATGTTCAAAGAGCAAATATACCTTATTTTACGCGATTCAGCCTTTCATTTTCCAGCTTCATCAATGTACCATAACCAATTGCTTCCATAAATGCAGAATATTTAAGAAGCTGGTACAAATATTGCATCAGTCTTTATTCCCTTTTTGAAATGGACTTTGTAGTCTGTGTTCATCAGCCAAGCTTTCACATCCTGTAGCCTAGAGTCGGGGTGGCATGAAGCCTCCAAGAAAAGCCATTTGTGGGGTCACTCGTCTCCTCCACAAAAGCAATAGCAGTAGAAGAGTTTTTGGTTCCTTCATCTGGCACTTGCTGGGACTAATTCCCATCTACATGCAGGCACACACTGGGACCATCAGGCTGAATAGTAATAGGGCCTCGAGCAGTTGTATTCCAGCTTAAGCAGCATCTGCCCAAGTTCGATTTACACAAACATCAAAATCTATCTGTTTACCTTTCTTACTGTCGGAGTCCTTCAGCGGCATTGCCCCTTCCTTACCTCTTCATGGTTTTTCTTCAGGCAAAGGAGATCGTCCTTCAGAGACTCCACGTGGGCCTCCAGGTCAGATTTGCACAGGGTCAGCTCGTCCAGGATCCCACGCAGGCCGCTGATGTCCGCCTCTAGCAGCTGGCGAAGGGACAGCTCACTGTCGTACCTTTTGCAGAAAAGACATAAAGCCAGCGCTTACTCTGCTGGACACCGTGAGAAGTGCGGGGGCTACGCGGATGATCGACACAGAGGCTCAAGGAAACCACACGCCATTTCTTTTACATCCTAAATAATGATTCATTCCAGCTTTTAAACCATTCTTAACTTTCAAAATATTACACGGAAAAATCTGGGGGGAGAGAGAGAGACCAGACAACTATAAATTATTTTCAAATTCAAATTAAGCTTACTTTGACCTAAAGTCATCAGTGGCCAGTTTGCAGTTGTCCAGCTGCACAGCAAGTCTAGAATTCTCTGCCTTCTTGCACAAGATCTGGGAAGGAAGTCATGTAATATGAATAAATCTTTCTTTGAGAGAAACCTAAATATCTATTCATTTAACATCTAGGCCATTAGCTGCTGAATCCTTTGAAAGTTTTGAAAGTCTTTATAAGAAAATACAAACTTGTTTTCAGCCTGCTTTTCTTACTAACCATGCCACTTCATGAAGAAAAAACACAGTGCCAATTTAGAAACAAAATAGAGAAATAAAAATATTTACCTTTTTAATGACCTAAGATATTTTGCAATACTCCTTGGCAGTTGAACACCATTAAAATTTCCTCTATAAATAGTTTGTATTATGACTATTTCCCCATCCATAATAATAGAAATTCATCAGGGAGAGAAGAAAATGATTACTAAGTGAAATAATATATGGTCAAAAAGATGATATTTCAAGATCTGTGCAAATAATAATATAAATGTTCAGAAGTGATTTTAGATATGACACAGTTTTTCCCCATTCCATAGGTGAGAAAGGCAAGATCTACAGGTATGTTACTTTATTATGGTCACTCAGTAATTAGGGGCAGCTCTGGGGCTGGTGCTGAGGTTTCCTCTGTGTCACATTAGCTCTTGGAATTCCCGTTTCCCTTGGTTTCCTTCCACAGACTAGCCACTTCTAGGATAAAGAGAAGGCAGATCACATAGATTGGGATGGTGGAGCATTAGGGGAATGAGACACCGAACCTTTTGTTGGAGATCTTCAATGGTGTCGAAGTAACACTGGTAATCAGGGCACGCCAGCGGGATGCCCTGTTCGCATTGTCCTCGGATCCTGCATTCCAGCTCTGCGTTGGTCTCCTCGAGGCTGCGCACCTTGTCCAGATAGTTGGCGAGTCTGTCATTCAGGAACTGCATGGTCTCCTTCTCGTTGCTGGTGAACACCCCATCCTCACACCAGGCACAGGTCCCCACCAAGCAGGTGCTGTTACAGCCCCCAGCAAGGTAGCATGGCGCGAGGCAGCCGGGCAGCAGGCGAGACCTGCAGAGGAAGCTGGGGGTCTGGCATCTGGATGCGGCACAGGCGCTGGGGAGACAAGTGGTTTCCGTGGAACAGGTTGAAGCAGGTGCACAACGGGGAGCCCCCCCACAGGACTCAGGAGGGCAGGGCGTAGGGGAGCAGTCAGATGTCATCCTTTCGGAAGAGAAGGGCAGAAACTCGCTGCAAAACTCCAGTTGCCTTGACTCCAAAACTGTCTTTCCTTCCTGAGACTTTTATATAGCCTCCCAAATGGGTACTTACAGACTGCACCGGATGTTTCCTTTATCACTGTTGTGCCAGTTTCCATATAAACATTTCATTAGAGTTGTTTATTTACTGAGGAACAGTTTTATGCCTCATAAAAGAGGGATAACTTCAGGTTACTAAATCAGGACTTATCCCATGTCCATGTGTCAGTAAGATAGAATATTTAATCTAGAAAATAGTCATAGAAAGCATTGCCCTTTTGGCAGAATAAGAAAAGAAAGAGAAAATTTGGCCAATTGGTAATTATAGCTACAACTTGTTACAAATAAGAAAAATGATATTCCCATAGATTTTGATTCCGTGCATTGATTGCTTGTGTCTCTTCTTAAAATTAATTTTACAACTCATTAAATGACATTTAATGCCACACCATAAAAAGGGTTAGTGTGATTAGGAACTTTGCAATGCTTTTTGTGATCTCAGAGCATGTGCTTAGGTGGTAGAAGAGGGAGGTATGTTTAAGAGGGAGCTGGGTTTAAAGTATGTGTGTGTGTGTGTGTGTGTGTGTGTGTGTGTTTGTTTGTTTACCACATCTCCCTGTGTACAAATGAAAAAGTCACTTTACATATCTAATGGGAATAACTTGTGCCCTGGAGGCGAAAATGTACATTGCTTATCAATAGCTAGAGTTGTGATCTTTGATCTCCTGAAACTTATCTTCTCCATATTTCCTATGTCTTATTTTTAGATCAGTTATACTATTTTTTACCTGCATTTTTAATAGGAGTGAAATATGAATTCTAAATTATAATCTTTTAGTCTCTTGGGAAACTCTCAGAAGAGGAGCAAGAAAACCACAGAAGTATTTTCTTGTGAGATCTGTTTTTGCTTGTTTATATATTTGTTTATTTATTTATGAATTCCATGAAAATTAAAAATGCTGGAACTTGGGAAATAAAATTCCATAATGTAGGTTCCAAATCTGCAATGCCATTGGTTGAAATCTTGTGTAGTACCTGGCAGGTGGGAACTTAAGATGTACCTCTCTTTAATTTCACCTCTATTATGAACCATAACCTATGTCACTTTGCTTGGTTTTAATTGTGGTATATATTTCATTTCCAAAGGTGCACAGAGAAAATTACCTCTATAAAGTTTAAGACTTACAGGGGGAAAAGGCCCCATTAATCTGCCAAAGTTAAAAATTTTATGATCCAGAATAAACTTATTTTTTCTCCCTAAATCTAATTTCAAGGATTCAAAAGCACATTTGAAAATCACAAATCTCTGAAAGAAAATTATGATTTCACAGTAACCTAATTAGTCAAAAGAAAAATATCTTTGAAGAGAACCCATGTCTTGGTTGTCCATCATAGGTTCTGGTTAATTAAAAGGCAGCAATGTAATCACAGGTAAAATAAGAAATATTTCCTTTTGAGCTAATTTCTAATTATAAAATGTTGGTCACTGGTTATTGTATATATACAGAAGGTATGGCTATTAATTTTGGTCTTAATGAATTATATAGTGTTGTATGGTGATCTATAGCTATAGTTCCCATCTTAGAATATGGAAATAGCCCAGAATTTATTTCTATAGTGTATCATCCTCAGAAGAAAGGAACATTGTGAATACAGGGAAATAGATGCCATGAAAGGCCATGATAAAAAGATATGGTTGTTTTATTTGATAATTATATAGTCATTTAATATGCTCTTATCTCAGAACATCCACCTATGGCTGCTATATCTTTTCTAAAATACAAGCCTATTTTTTGTTTCTCTCCACTTATGAAGTCCACCCGTCCTACCTTGCCAAAACTGACCTTCCTTTATCTGGCACCAATCTACTTTTCTAGGCTCATTTCATGATGTTCTTTCTCACAAACCCCGGCTCCAGCCACCCCCCTAAGCTTCGTAGGTACTGTTTTCAGTGCTTTGTTGCCACCCTTTTCCTGGATGAACTCACCTGTCAAGACTCAGCTGAAATGTCACTCAACTGCCTCATGATGAGGTGGGAACTCTTCCCAAGCACTCTGCACATACTTCACCTATAGGGATTGTTGTATTGCTTCTAAAATTTGTATGCATTTTTATGTTTCTTGATTTTTTTGATAATGTCCCCTTTAAGACAAGTGTATCTTACTTGTCTTCTTGGCCCCAGCACATTGGATATAATATAATGTGAGAGGTCCTTAATAAATGTTTGCTAAAAATATGTCCACTTCACTTAATAGAAGCTTCTGTTTGGATACATGATTCTTTTTATTTTATTAATTTTTATTTCAGGATATTGTGGGGATATAAACATTTTGGTTACTTATATTGCCTTTGCTTCACCCAAGCCAGGGCTACAAGTGTGCCTTTCCCTCATACAGTGTGCGCTGCATCCATTAGTTGTGAGTTTACCCCCCACCACCCATACCTGACCAGCACCCAGTGAATATTACTACCATGTGAGCACCTTAGTGTTGATCAGTTTTGATAAATGCCATTTTCACTGGAGTTAAGTGATATCTCATTGTGGTTTCGATTTGCATTTCCCTAATGATCAGAGATGTTGAGCATTTTTTCATGTTTGTTGGCCATTAGTCTGTCTTCTTTTGAAAAGTTTCTGTTCATGTCCTTTGCCCACTTTTTAAAAATGAGGTTGTTTTATTTTTTTCTTGCTGATTTTCTTGAGTTCTATATAGATTCTATTTATTAGCCCTTTATCGGATGTGTAGCATGCAAATATTTTCTCTCATTCTGTAGGTTGTCTATTCACTCTATGGATTATTTTCTTGGATGTGCAGAAGCTTTTTAATTTGATCAGCTCCCATTTATTTATTTTTGTTGTTGCTGTGATTGCTTTTGAGATCTTCTTCATAAATTCTTTCCCTAGGACAATGTCTGTAAGTTTTTCTAACATTTTATTTTAGAATTTTTATAGTTTTATGCCTTAGGTTTAAGTCTAGCATCCATTGTGAGTTGATTTTTGTGAGAGGTGAAAGGTGCTGGTCCTGTTTCAGTTTTCTACGTGTGGCTATCCAGTTTTCCCAGCACCATTTATTGAATAAGGATTCTTTTCCTCAATGTATGTTTTTGTCTGCTTTGTCGAAGATTAGATAGCTATATGAGGATGGTTTTATATCTGGGTTGTCAGTTCTGTTCCATTGGTCTATGTCTCTGTTCTTGTGCCAATACTGTGCTGTTTTAGTTACTATAGCTTTGTAGTATAGCTTGAAGTCTGGTAAATTGATGCCTCCCAATTTGGTAGTTTTGGTTCATTTCTTTGTTCTTTCTCATTTTCTTTTGGGCTAATAAAATATGCTACTTTATATTCTATACTAGCTTTATATCTTTTAATAGTTTTTCTTAGGGGCAGAGGGAGTTCCGTCTGGATTACAATATGCATCCTTAAATTATTACAGTCCACTTGGAATTAATATTGTACTACTTTATGTAAAATATGAGAAGCCCATAACAGTAGAATTCTATTTACCCCTTTCTGTTCTTGGTGCTATTATTGTCAAATAGCTTATCGCTATATACCCCTAACACAATTGTTTTTGCTTTAAATGGTTATTTGTCTTTTAGGGTATTAAGAAAAGAAAAAAGAGAAAGTCTCATACTTTACTCATATATTTACTATTTTTCAGTGTTCTTTTTTTCCTTCCTAAAAGTCTGAGATTTCATTTGGTATAATTATACCTTTAAATATATTATTTTTTATTGTGGTAAACCCCACATAACATAAAATTTATCATCTTAACAATTTTTAGGTGTACAATTCAGTGGTATTAACTATATTCAAGTGCTGTGCAACCATCACCACCATCTGTCTTCATAACTCTTTCCATCTTGTAAAACTGAAACTCTGTACTATTTAAATAACTCCCCATCCCCTCCATCTCTTGGAAAGCACTGTTCTTTTTTCTGTCTTTATGATTTTGACTATGCTTTACTACCTTATATAAGTGGAATCATATAGAATTTGCCTTTTTGTGACTGGTTTATTTCACTTAGCATAATTCCTCAAGGCTCATCCATGTTGGGTCATATGCAGAATTTTCTTCCTTTTCAAGGTTGAATAATATTCCATTGTATGCATATATCACATTTGTTTGTCCATTCATCTGTCTATGAATGCTTGGGTTGTTTCCACATTTTAGCTACTGCAAATAATGCTGCTGTGAATATAAGTGTACAAATATCTTTTAGACATCCTGCTTTTATTCTTTTGGATATGTACTCAGAAGTAGAATTGCTAGATCATATGATAATTCTATTTCTAATTTTTTGAGGAATGGTCATACTGTTTTCCACAGTAATGGTCCCGTTTTACCTTCCCACAAGCAATGCATGAGGGCCCCTATTTATTCACATTTTTTTTTATGGTAGACATCCTAATGGGTGTGAAATGGTATCTTATTGTAGTTTTGTTTTGCATTTATCTAATAAGTTATGTTGAGCATCTTTTCATGTACTTCTTGGCCATTTGAATATCTTTTTGAAATACCTTTTTCAAGTTCTTTGCTCATTTTTGAACTGTGTTGTTTGTTTTTTGTTGTTGAGGTATAATTACTCTTAAACCAACAGAACTTCCTTTAGTGTGTCTTATAGTATAGGTACTTGGACAACACTTTTAAAAATCAGCTTTATTTAATCTAAATATGTTTTAATTTTTTCTTCAGTTTTGAAGGTTATTTTGCTGGCTGTAGAATCCAGTTTGATGCCTTTTCCCCCTTCCCTTCAAAACTTTAAAACTGAGGTTTGATTGACCTCCATTTTATCTGAATAGATGTCAGACATCCATTTTATCTTTGCTGCCTTATATTTGATGATTTGTGTTTTTTCTTATTATTTCTTTTTAAGATACTCTACTGATTTGAGGTATTCAGCAGTTTGACTATGTGTGTTTGTCTATGTGTGGTGTGTGCATGTGTGTATGTGTGTGTTTAGGTTGCA